CCATCTGGGTACTGTTTTCTTCTCCACGGGGTGACCGGTGTGACCCATAAAAACACAGAGGCAAGGGAGTGTCACCATGAGATGAGTTATGAGACAAACACTTTGGCTTCCATCTCAGGCTGCTCTGTCTCTCTGAGATCGCTGGATCTGGGGAAGGCCTGACCCGAGCAGCCCAGTGGAGAGGCCTGGTGGGGAGGTTCCGTCCCCTGCCACAGCCCCGTGAGCCGCCAAAAGCAGAGCCTGCCCCCCTCCCACCCCAACACCCCAGGCAGACCAGAGGGTTGTGGCCCCTGAGAAGCCTTGGCCGCAGCCTGTGATGGACCCCAGGCCAGAAGCCCCAGCCAGGCCTTCCAGAATCCTGCCCTTCAGATACCTGGGAGAGTGCAGGTTGTTTTAAGGGACTACAACCTGTTTAGGGTAATTTGCTACGCAAGCTTGCATGCTAAATCACTTCAGTCGTGTCTGACTCTTTGCAACCCCATAAATTGTAGCCTGCCAGGCTCCTCTGTCCATGGGATTCTCCAGGCAAGAGTATTAGTGTGGGTTGCCATTTGCTTCTCCAGGGGATCTTCCCAACCCATGTCTCTTATGTCTCCTGTGTTGACAGGCAGGTTCTTTACCACTAGCATCACCTGGGTATCCCCTTGTTACTCAGCAATGGGTAACTTATACACGATGACTTTAAATGGAGATCACCCTAAGTCAGTTGGCAGCAAACAAACCGACAAGAAACCCCAGAAACCATTAGGAAGAGCCTGGAAAGTCTGATGACACAAATGCTAAGATCGTCTGCCTAGCCAAATACAAACCCCAAACCACAAAGTCAAGAGACAAGTGACAAAGTGGGCCAAAAAATAGTACCAAGATGTGACTCAGGGCTCATATCATTAATGTATAGAGAACTTGAACCAGTCAATAAGAAAAGATCAGCGACCCAAAGGAAAAGGGTGCAGGAGGTGGCCTTGGAAAATGCCAACCAAAGCGCCCCCCCTACCCCGTGAAATGATCTCACAACCAGAATGTGCTCGGGGGCTGGGGTCCCAGAGCTGCTGCTTCTGGGCACATGGGGCAGTTGTACACTGGCATTGCTTTTGATCTGCGGCTCTAACTGGATGGTGGGCCATCCTGGAGCCACAGACAGACCAGCCTCAGCAAAGACTGGCCAAAGCAGTGGGTGGTGCCCAGCTCAAAGCTGGGCATTGAGCAGGTCTGGGCAGCATCACCCAAGAGCTGGGAGACCCTCTTGGTGAGGAACGTGTGGCAGGAAAGGCAGTTGCTTCCCACCAGCAAGAGAAGGCTGACCACACCTGCAGACCAGACAGCTGTCAGGGCAGTTCCTGGGCAGACAACCTCCTTTCTGGTCTCCATGCATGTGTACTAAGTCGCTTCAGTCGTGTCCAACTCTTCGCAATCCCATGGACTGTAGCCCACCAGGCTCCTGTGTCCATGGGATTCTCCAGGCAAGAATCTTCAGTGGGTTGCCATGCCCTCCTCCACGGGTCTTCCCGACTCAAGGATTGAACCCGCATCTCCTCACGTCTCCTGCATTGGCAGGTGAGTTCTTTACCACTAGCACCACCTGGGAAGCCCTTCGGGTCTCCATGCTCCCCTAGACCCACACTTGGTCTCAGGGCCGATGTTCCTTTCCCATCCCTGAGCTCGACATGCCTGCCTTTTTCCTCTGCTCATCAGATAGTTCCTCCATCCCCACACCCAGCCACTGGATCTGATCTCGCCCCACCCTCCTATGTGACCAGATGTTATCAGCCCAAGTGAGGAGCTGTTGAGCAACTCGACAAACCTGACACCTGATCTTGCCTGGTCTGTGGACCGTCCCCTCCTTCAGCTTCAGGCAGGGAAGGGTGACGACTGCTCAACGGGAAGCCCCAGATCTCGCGAGAGCCACCAGCCTCCTGGCTTTTCCCAGCTCTGTGGGGACCCTGCAGAGAGCCAGTCCGGGAGGAGGGCAGGGGGCACACACCTAGGAGTCTCGGGCCTCTAGAGAAGCGCTTCTCACTGTGGGGTCTCTGGACCAGCAGCTTGTTGGAGTCGCAAATGCTCAAGCCCCACCCCAGATGTGCAAGATCAGAGACCCTAGGGCGGGACCCTGCAGCCGGCTTTGAGTGAGCCTTCCAGGTGTTCTCACGCCCCTTCCAGCATGATGGATGGAGGGGGCCAAATTCTAGACCCTGGGAGGGTGGAAGGAATCAGGAACGCGGGCCAAGGCCGCCCTCAGATGCCATCAGGATGAATGGTTTCTGATCTCACCCACTCCTAGGGAAGCCATGGGTTTTCTCTCCCTGCGGGGCTCACTCACCTTGACCTCCCAGGGGAGAGGCAGGCAGTAGGCACTGAGGGCTGCAACCATAGGCGGTCCCGGAGAACAGGAGTGCTTGGGCAAGGTTCCCTCCCAGCGGGCCACACCTGTCGAGTGACAGGGGGAAGACTGTGTTACTTTGGGCCCTCCCCACATCCAGAAGCATGGCACCCCTGCCCGTCTCCACGTTTCTGGGCACTGGGCTCAGCTCTGCCCACCTCTCCCTTGTTAATCCGTGTGGGGCAGGGGGGAAGGGAGGAGGATCCGGGCTTCACAGAGAATCGGCCCAGTCACACTCACGGGTGGTGGAACACGGTGGGCCGGGCAAGGGGTGGGGGCGGCTGGAGGCGGCCAGATTCTAGACGCTGGGAGGGTGGAAGGAAACAGGAACTCGGGCCAAGGCCGCCCTCAGATGCCAGGACTGGAGGGCGGGGCCGAGTGGAGACCCCCTGACCCTGCTCTTTGGCAGCATCCTGGTGGGGTTGCCGCCGACCGTCCCCGCTCACCCGGTCCCTTGGCTCCCCCAATACACTGTCCCCGGGTCATCTCGAGGGCCAGACGCCCTCAGTACAGCAGGCGGAGTCCTGCCAGGAGCGGGGCGTGAGGCCCCGACGGAATCCCCAAGGTCTCCAGGGCCCTGGGCTCGGGGGAAGCGTCTTTTCGCCTTCCCCCAAGAGAGGGCGCATAACCCAGTAAACTGCGGGGCTCTGACCCCGCCCAGGACCCAGAGGGAGTGCGGTCGAGTACCGAGATGGAGGGCGGGGACACGGAGCAAGGGGGCCGTCTCCGCGCTTCGAGACCCTCCCTGACCGCCCCAGGGGCTGTCGTCTCTCGCTCCCCGCTTCAGTCCGCCCACCGGAATCCATGGAGCACTGCCCTCCGGCCCACCTCTTCCGTCTGACTCTACCAATGACCATGCTCGACTCCTCAGAAGACCCGCCCTCCAGTGCCCAACCAGCCCGGCCCTCTTTGTGACGGGCACCTCTGTGGCCCAGTCAAAGCAGGCCGATCTCGTGAGCTCCGCCCTCCGCTCAGCCTTCGGGCTCTTTCCTCAGTCCCTAGGCGGGCGTGCTGTGGGCCCTTGGACTTCCCAGCAGAGAGATCCAGACTTTCCGTGCAGAGTCATGCGAGTGTACACGCCAAGCCCTGCTATGTGCCTTTGGTGTGAGCTTGTATTCTGAAGGAGTTAAGTTCACGGGAAGTTACAGGGAAATGCCCCTCCCGTTGTTGCCCCAGCATCAGCGTGTTGTGTATCCAGTTGGACCTCACACTAGGAAATGGCATTGGTACCATCGGAAAGTTGCTCAGCGTTGTGTGTGTGCGCGCACGCGCCAGTGGTTAGGACACCACACTCCCACTGCCAATGGCCTGGGTTCGATTCCTGAATGATGCTGCATACCTCGCCACACACATACGACAGTACATTATCGATTCCTGGATGATGCTGCATACCTCGACACACACACACACACACACACACACACACACACATACACGTCAGTACATTAATGAAACCATGCAGTTTGATAACGGGGTGGCCTTTTTTTAATCACACACTGCCCTTGAGATCCATCCATCTCAATCAATAGTTAGTTCGTATCAGCAGTCAGTTTTCCCTTTGTATTGCTAGGCTTCTTCCTTGGTGTGGATCAGCCACAGTTGTTCAAGCCTTCATTCACTGAAGGACATGTTGCCCGTTTCCACTTTTAGATTTCTAGAAAAAATCTGCTTTGAACATTTGTATCCAGGCTTTCCTGTGGTCAGAATTCTCCATTTCTTTGGCATGAATGCTTAGCAGTGCAAGTGCTGTGTCCTTAGGAAGTGGACAATTAGCCTTAGAAGAAACTGCCAATTTGCATTCCACTGTGGCTGGACCATTTTTCCTTACCACCCCAGATATTTTTAAAGCACATAACTGAAGATTTTTACAAAACATTGTTTTAGGCAATACTGTTAACAATTCTGTTTCTCACCTCTAACTATATTCTTCTATGGGATCACCTACATAGTTCTTCACTCAGGTTAAAAAAAAAACACACACACCCTGTACATTCAGTGTGATTTTAACTAGCAATAATATATTTGCAAAAGTCTTCCTTGTCAGTGCACAAAACTCTAGCTCATGTCATCTCTGGCCACAAGGTATTGAACAGAACACATGTGCTATAGTTTACATAACAAATCCCCAACTGATGTAGTGTTACCTTTTCTGTTCTTCTTGTTTGTTTGTTAGCACCTCTGAAAATGTGTAAATCTCCCTCAGGATATTACCTTTAAGTGGAACTACCAGGTGAAAACCTATGGGCATTTACCGTGTTCATTGATACTAAGCAGTTGCCTCCCCAAAAGACCCTGATAGGCATATAGCAGGGCTTAGTTAGCCCTGTGTTCCACATGTTGCAGAGATTTTCTCTCAGTCTCTCTCTCTCTAAAGAGCTCAGCTTTTTATTGAATGTGTTATTAAAGTGAGTGAAGTTGCTCAGTCATGTCTCATTTTTTGCGACTCCATGGACTGTAGCCTACCAGGATCCTCCATCCATGGGATTTTCCAGGCAAGAGTACCGGAGAGGGTTGCCATTTCCTTCTCTAGGGGATCTTCCCAACCCATGGATTGAGCCTGGGTCTCCCACATTGTAGGCAGATGCTTTACCATCTGAGCCACCAGGGAAGTTACTACAGAGGTTTAGTCAAAAAGAGCAAAGCTCATCTCATCATCAGGGTCTTCATATTCTTTTTTCTTTGTTTCTACTTTCTTCTCCTCAGATTGGGCAGCAGTGGTGGAGGGGGCAGGACTTTCTGGTGGTGCAGCTCCTGCTGTCGGGACAGGTCCACCAGCCCCCACATGGCAGGTGAAGCTGCCGATGCTGACACTGGCCAAAGCCTTTACAAACAAGCCTGGCCAGAAACTGTCAACATTTACACCAGCTGCTTAAATGAGGGCACTGATCTTATCCTCTGTGACCATCACCTCACTGGGCAGAATGAGGGCCGAGTAGGTGCAAGGATGCTCCGAGACAGAGGCCATGGTGCGGGTGAGTGCTCGGTGGGGCTGCTGGCTCGGTGCCAGTCTCCAGATGAAGTGAGGGCCTCACCCCAAAATGGCCTTGGATTCTCGGAAGGACCAAGCACCTTAGTGGCCGCAGAAGAAAGGGATCTCTCTCCTTTTTTGGCTGCACAGCATGGCATGCCAGATCTTAATTTCCAGACCAAGAATTGAACTGAGCACGTAGTGGAAGCATGGAGTCTTAACCACTGGACCACTGTGGAATTCCCATCTCTTGTCTCAAAAGACTAGGCCAGCCAGTTTTGGCTGTCAAGTAGTTACACAGTTTTATGTGACCAAATTATTAAACACTGGATTGATGATTTCTGGGTTGTGTATCTTGGGCACAAAGTTGTCCTGCCTCAAGTGAGGAGAGTCATGTGACACAGGGCAAACTTTCCGAGTTCCCACACCCAATGCTTCGTGGACCCAGGCTGGCTGATTCTTGCTGTCCTGCAGGCCCCACTACTATGTGTGTGTGTGTGTGTTGTATGTGATTCTTGCTGTCCTGCAGGCCCCACTACTATGTGTGTGTGTGTGTGTGTGTGTGTTGTGTGTGTGATTCTTGCTGTCCTGCAGGCCCCACTACTGTGTGTGTGTGTGTGTGTGTGTGTGTGTGTGTGTGTGGTGGGGGGGGGGTCATATGATCCCAGGCTAGGTAGGCCAGGACTAGAGCCAGTGCCTCTCAGACACCCAGCCCCTGCCCTCCTGGGATGCCAGCTCAGTTGAGGAAAAGATGAGGAAATGTGTACTGAGAAGAGAGTATTTTTTAATGCATTATTTATTATTTATTTAAATGCATAGGTGGCCCGCGGGTGAGAAAGTGAGATCCATGGGGAAAGCACAAATAAGAACCAAGAATCCACCTAAAACCAGTGCTCTTGAAGAGTCACCTGCAACAGTGAGAAGGAAGGACAACGCTGTAAAAGAACTGGGTCCATCCCAGCATGGGTCTGAGTGAGCAGAAGACTGGTCCCCATCATCTGCAAGCAGGGTCTTTCATCCCTCTGCCAGACAGTGGGGCTTCAGCAAACCACTGGCTGAGGGAGACTCCCCGCCGACCCTGGCACTGTGGTCGTACTGCCGGGCTCCTGGCAGAGCAGATGCTCCCAGAAGGGATGCCTCACCTCTGGCTTCCCACTCAGGACTCCCAGAGGGCCAGCTAAAGACTGGCCTGCAAACTCATGTTGAAGACACCACCCATCCTCATGGAACGCTGGCAGGTCCCTCAAAGAGAGGAGTGGCCCTGTTATGTCCCCAGGGCATCACTGTCAGAAGCCAGATGATATAATTTTCAGTAAGGGCTGGGAGTGTCTGCTACAGGCCTGGACTCACCCATCCCAGCCTCGCGGTGGCCCTAGGAAGTCAGTAGCATGTCAACCCCTTCTCCAGATGAGCAAATGAGGACATGGAAGGCTTGAGCAGTTTGTTCTGAATCTCTAGCTAGCAGCAGGGAGGGGTGGTTAAGGACACTGGCCTCTAAGCCTGACCTCCTTTTGCAGGCTGTGAAGTGACATGAAGTCTCTCAGTCATGTCCGACTCTTTGCGACCCCATGGACTGTACAGTTCATGGAATTCTCCAGGCCAGAATACTGGAGTGGGTAGCTCTTCCCTTCTCTCTGGGATCTGCCCAACCCAGGGATCGAACCGAGGTCTCCCGCACTGCAGG